GTGCTGGGGGCTGCAGAGCCTGGTCCTGCCTGTCTCCACATCCCTCTGCCCTGTGCACGGTCCCCTCGGGGCTCAGCCCATCCCTGCACAGCTGGAGATGGAGTTGTGTTTTTGGGGGTGCTGTGGGCTGCTGCTCACTGTTCCTCCCCCCCCTTGCCAGGGGAGCTGCTGCGGGTCACCCACCTGGCCCCGGCGGCCGGTGCTGGCGCTGCCCGTCCTTCCCGGGGGGCTGGGGCTCCCGTGCTGGGAGCCCTGGGCGGGGGTTCATGGCCTGACCACCTCCCTCCCTGCCTCCCCCCAGGACTTCAGCGAGCGCTACGTGTGGGTGGGTGCGGGGCAGCTGTCGGGGGGCTCCGTGCAGACCTTCCTGCGGGACGGGCGCCCCATCCGCGCCCGCTGCAATCACACCATCGTGTCCCACCCCCCCACGGGCCTGCAGCCCCCCCGGGTGCAGCATGTCCGGGCCAGCGCCATCAAAGCCTCCTATGATCCAGCCTCTGAGGAGCTCTCCTTCCAGCTCCGTGCTTCGCTTGATGCAGGTGATGAAGGGAATCTCAGGGATGGGGATGGAGAAGCTGAGTTCCCTCACTGGTGGCTGTGAGACTGTTTAGGCAACATCCCTGCAGAGACGTGTTCCTTTTCATCATCTTTGCTGTGACTGGTCCTTTATTTATTACCTATCCAGGAGCCAGTGGAGACCAGTGCCCACCAGGATTCATGCTGGGCCCTCAACAGCTGTACTGCACTGGTATGGACCCCACCCGAGTGGGGTGTGAAGATGGCAAGAGGTGCTCACTGTGTGGTGCTCTCTCCCCAAGCCTGTCTTCCCTCTGCTCCCCAGATGTCGATGAATGCACCGAGGGGTCTCACACCTGTCGCTACAACCAGCTCTGCCAGAACACCCTGGGGAGGTACCACTGCACCTGCCCTCCCGGCTACCACTCGCTGGGTGCTGGCTGGCCATGCCTGGGTATGAGCTGGGATCTCAGGGGACATGTCCTTGGGCACAGGGTGCCAGACTGCAGTCACTCCCCCTTCCCTGCTCCAGCCTCAGTTTCCCCATCCAGCCCCAACTCCCCAGTGCTTTCCTCCACCAGACATAAACGAGTGCCTGCGGTTTCCTCCACCCTGTGCCTTTGAGTGCCGCAACCTGAGAGGCTCCTATGAGTGTCTGTGCCCCCCTGGAAGGACCCTGCTGCCAGGTGGTCAGTGCAGCAGAGCAGGGGTGAACAGAGAGATCACAATGGGCAGCACATCCCAGGACCCCTCCGTGCTTTGGCTGAGGCCGAGGAGCCGTGCACAGGGACGTTCCTTCTACACCCAGCTTGCTCTCCACCACGTGGCCAAGGCTGCAGGGGTGGGTACCCGGGACCCCCCCTGCCCCACAGGCTTCATCAGGAGGAACAGTACCTGCACTGGTGAGTGTGCATAGGGGAAATATTTGGGAAGGGTTTTGCAGGGATCTCTGAGGCTCTTGTTCCCTTTGCTGTCCTTTCTCCCATTTTTTTTGCACCTCCTTTTGCAATGTTTGGGTCTCCCCACATTCAGCTGTGCTGGGGAAGGGGAGGTGAGAGCCAGGCTGTCCCAGGGCAGGGAGGAACTTCCCATTTCCTTACTTGGCTTCATCCTTTTTCCCCACAGACCTTGATGAGTGCCAGATGCTGAACAAGTGCCAGCACGAGTGCAGGAACAGCCCAGGCAGCTACTACTGCATCTGCCCCCCTGGCTACCGGCTGCTGCTCGATGGGAAGCCCTGCCATGGTCAGTGCAGGGGTGCTGGGGGATTCCCCTGTCCTGGGGGGGAGTCCTGTCCTTGGGGTTGGCCTGGGTCCCCATGGTGCCTTGGATGTCATCCCTGCTGCAAAAAATCCAGTCTTTCTTCTTCCAGGGGAGGGTTGTGCCAGGCTCAGCACCCTGCCAAGCCTGGATGCTTTTGTTGCCCTGCCTCCATGTCTGACACCCCGGGCATGGGGGGTGGGAAGGTTTGAGGGGCTGGGGTTTAAATCCCCATCTCAGTCTGGGGCACATGGGCACCCTGGCACCTGCAGACCTGTCTCTGCTCTGCTCACAGACATAGACGAGTGTGCAGAGGGCACGATCCAGTGTGGCTCGAGCCAGATGTGCTTCAACACCCGTGGAGATGCCCAATGCATGGATGCACCGTGCCCGGCCGGGTACCGGAGAGGCTCCAGCCCTGGGTGAGTCCTTCTGTGGGGCTGGGGGTGCCTCTCCCCTGCACTTTCCTATGGAATCGTTGACCCAGGCACCCTGGTCATTGCTGAACTCCCACCCCATCCCGTGTCCCCCCCCCCCCCAGCGATCTCCAGGGG